CGTTAAATTTGGGCCTCCTCGCTTGGATCGGCTTGAGATGTTTAACTGTGTTTCCGACATTTCCAATCCATACTTCCTCATGTAACGCGCCAAAGAAGGCTAAAATACAGCGGACCTGATGACATAGGAGGAGCCTGCTTTACAGTGTGAATTTTCAGCCATGTAACGCCGGGTTGGAATTTACCCCTCTGTGTTACTACTTCACTCATGTACATTCATTTGGAACCACTCTTGGTTGTTTTCCTCTCTCTAGTGACCCACTGCTTTCGTATTTCTTTCCTTACATTCCACCTTAAGCGTGTCTAACCTCGTCGAATTTCTGCCTTCAATCAGTTTCGGGAGTAAGCTAAGAATCATTTCCAGGCAACTAGACCAAGTCAAGAAAAGGTGCCTGCAGGGCCATTCTTTCCTTTCAGCCGCTTGGATTCCTCAGACGCAACTTCTAGATTCAGCTCTTCACATTTACTCCGCCATTATGTACGCTCCTGTGGCTTATGACAAACGCCTATACCTACCTGGGACTAATTTCGAACTTATTATACAAACATTTAGTGAGTTGCACTCTAGTGAAAAGAGTAAGTAATATTACAAAATGTTATTCGTACTTGAAACCCATTTGATTTCTTCGCTATTACGAATGACATGCAGCTTGTATTTGTTCCCACATATTCGCTTACTGTATTGTTTATTTCTTCCTTTGACAACGAAACAGTAGCCAAGAAACTCTTCTTCGAAATCTTCACAATAGAACGTTTTGTCTATAAAGGTCCTTTGTGAGGTTTCTTCGTGCTGTTTTGTAGAATGTAGTAAATTCTCTCCGTCCACACGTTTAGTGCTTATGTAATAATTTACGATGAACTGAACAGACCGACTACTGGGATTTCAACAAACTTGAAACAATACGCGGCACTTCAAACTGCGTGGCTCACTTCAAGAAAAGTGGTCCCCCTATTCGATCTTGTCCCCTTGAAGTCAAGAGTGTAATCAACTCTAATAAACGCAAGAGAAAGTAGAAACACTGTTTGAGTAACTCATTACAGCGCCTTTTGAAAGTTTTGTGTGAGTACCGCAGAAGCTCCCTGCACACTACTTTGCATGGCACAACATTAGTTTGTGCTTCTTAAATCTGAGGATTGCTAGAATTCTAAGGAATGGTTCAAAAAAGGAGCAAAAATCTCATACCGTATACACATTTAGTTGGATATCCTTCCATGACTCTCAGAAGGTTATAAGGAGAAACGGCTCTACATACTTGCACAGCTCTTTCATTATTTGTCTTAATTTTAAGTTCTAATGTACAAGTAGTCGTACGCTGAAACGTTACAGCGGATTACAAAGTGAATATAATGATGAGTTAGAGGCTTACGTTTTGATTAGCAACGATTCGGTGAGCTTGTTCATAGTACCATACCTACTGAAGGGAGTGGTAAAGTGTACAGTGATCTACTATCACACACGCATGTCTTGGAGGTTGAATCCCGGGCCGGTAGTCGCTCATGACAACCAGGCATTCCATCCCCACAGGGTCAGTTAATGGGTTCCAGGCTAATTCGGGAGGTTTAAAATCATTGTATAGGCCACATACGCATTCCGAAAGACACTACAATACTGAATGGAAGTCTGGAGCGCACTTCAAAACGGGATTTATTAACTCCAAAGACTTTATCTTCTGAACTTTATTTTATCTCTCTCATTACGACAGCATACAACATACTTACATTCATATTCCCGATTCCGAATTGGAGAGAGTTCAAACAGAGCCGCATAAACGTTTCTTAAAAAATACGTTTCGTGATATTAGTTTCTCGTTTTGAGAGCAACGATTACTGAGTTCCTGATGGGGCCGAAAACTCAGTTGTGCCCTTGGTGCTGAACCCAGCCATACAGTATGGGGGCTGATAACAGTGCCTTAGAGAAAAAAGGGAGAGATTACCTTTTGGGTCAAATTGGAGACCGAAAGAAATCGAATGTCAATGAGGAAAGGAGCGAGCCCCAAATTGAGCCAGGTCTTCTTCTCTACAAAGCATCTGGTTCTTTCTTTTCCTATTCCTCTTGCTCTTCTGCGCATATGCACAGTAGCGCCATCTTGCTGGGCTCCCGTAACGATTTTATTGGTAACCGTGGCCGTTGTTTTTGTGTTCAGTTATTTCTATTATTTATTGTTGTTGTCACTGCTAATAAGTTTCGTTACTTGCATCGCTCCCTTGCGGTCAGAACTAATTTTGACTTTATGTGCAGGTGACTGGTTTTCTAATGGATGGATGACCAATACAGATTGTTCGAGGGCTGCGTTGGATAGTTTATCAAAGACTAGACATTAAAAGATACTCTAGAAATAAATACAATTGCAACAACCTGTTTTAAAATCTTACATCAATACAACGTACAAACGGTCTTAACCTACACGATCCGTAATGTAATAAAAGAATTTTTGGTGCATAAATATTATTCAGGTCATGAGATTTATAAGATGTTCGTTTTGAGATACTTTTGAGCTTTCTATTATCACTTGGTTCAATTGCTTAAATACCGAATTTGTACTGAGTGTAAGGAACTTCACAAAGACTCACTGATTTGTTTCACAAAGCTCCAAATAGACTTACCCATTTCGTCCGTCCGCTTTATAAGCAGCACTATCGGTACCAAGTATCCAAGAAAAGCCATTATAAAGCTGCAAAGAATCGTTATCGCAGATAGTATACGAAAAATAATCATAGTAAGTTAGCCGAATTGATGTCTTGTTTTCCCAAGCCTAAGCAATGTATACAGTAGCAATGGCCGTGTTCACAAGTTCACACGGAACGGGTCCATAATGAGTAGCCCCTTCTGAGGTTTTTCATATTTGAATTGTTCGAAAAGCATGTGTCGGCAACTTCACAATATCCCGAATTTCTCCCGAGATTTTTCT